GAGATTACTAAACAGTTTCCAAGAATAATAGTATTTCCTTGGTTCGAAGAAACATGAAAGGAAACAAACTGGACGAAGGAAAATAGAACTAAAACTTACTGATTCATCCTCAGACATCAAATCATAATCATCATCTTTATCAGGGGCAACTGACTGAGATTCTGTCACCGTTTACAGGCAGTGAGAGAAGCAAAAGGCAACAACCCAAAGATAAGAAAGAGGCCAATCTGCAACAAATAAACCATTCATCCACTTACCAACTTTTGCTTCAGCATTTTTTTTTACATCATCTTGAGTTCCTTCTTCATGTTGAATTCGTAAGTGCTCCTGACAAGAGGATACATTCAATTGTTGGCACTGTGTTGGTGAGCTAACTAGGTTCTCTGCAAGCATTGTTGAGTACCTATAATAATCATAATACAGAGCATCTCATCATGTTGGTGTACATATGTAAAATAAAAAAAGTCTCCACCCTAAACACAATGACTGAAAGAACTGCACCTCTCAGTTTGCCCAAGAAGAAACTCAAGCTGTTTATCAAGTGTTTTTTTCTTCTTCTCATCGAGCTCTAACTGATGCTTGTAAAGAACCTGAAAGAACAAAGTAAGGGAGTATTTTTGTTCAAAAGCACAAGATGACCATGAGAATTGAACATCTGAGGGATTATCGTGAAGTGTAGTTACCAGCTTCTCAATTTTCAACCAAAATTTTTTTACATCCTTGGATATATTTAGGGCCACTTTCCTCAAGCGTTGCTCTTCTTCCTGGTGACATTATACGAACAAAATAGATAAGATTTTACAATGTGACTAGTACAAAAGCTACCACAGCTTTCAGCTGTCAAGGCAGTCTAATATCTCATGTATGTAAATGATTTTATACCTTCACCCTTTTTTCTCCCCTTGATGCTTGATCCAGCACTCCCTTGCTTGCTCTTATTGCAACCTTCTTTGCCTGAGCCAGTTTCCATTTTCTCTCTGACTCAAAGTCCTGTAACACCAAAGAAATTCTCAGTATATATTTTTCTTAGTAAAATAATTATTGCTCCCACTGAAAGCAAGGAAAGTGTCCTTTACCTTTGACAACCAGACCATCTCCTCAAGAACATGATCCCAATGTGTTTTAGGGCGTGGAGGTTCTTTTGGAGCTTCAAGTGCCTATTAATATGAAATGATAAACAAAGATAGACATAGGTCAAAAGATATAGATACAACAATTTAAAGCCATTAACACCATGCGTTTTTTAGATAATGTCTGACTGAATATGTCAATTCCAATATTATTCTATTCTTCTAGATTTTCTTGTTGTTCCCTGGAATGTGAAGGTGGCGTTTACTGCACATGAAATTTCAAGATTTCCCTTACGCCCTTAACCCTACCCAGATGTTCTATGAAAGTGTCATTGATCTGGAACCAATAATGATAAACAGAACCAGATTTTTTAAAGCTCAATTGACACATTTCACCAACAAATAATTTATAAAGAAAATCAAGTAATTTTATGAAACAACATTTTGCAAAGCCTTCTAACAACTCTCTCTGTGGGTGAATGTGTGCATCTGACAGACAGATAGAGAGATAATGAAACAACTCAGTGTATAGCAACCATTAAAAATCAAGGATAAATATAAAAACAGCATATTCTTAGAGAAATTTTGAATCAGGCAGAGCTTGATATATGTACCTTCTGTCGCTTGGCACGTGTTTCATGGTCAGGTTTAGTCTTTGAACCTTTAGAAGACATGACAATAAGATATCTATGACATGACTAAAGCATCTGCATAAAAAAGCCAAAAATATTAATTTTTTTGTATTATAGATGCATGAACAATGATGTGGAAAAAAAAAAATCCAATTGACAAGGACATCCTCAAGAAAACAAGAAAAACTTCTTCTGCAAGGAAAACACTAGCAAGTAGCAACAACCTCTCAAAAGTGTTGGAGAAAACAGTGTTTGAGACATTGCCTCTCTCAAAAGTTACAATCAGAATCATTAGAAAGGAAGATGAAAAGGGCATAAAGCATCACATATTATCCTTTTTTCCAGTAAGGGTGTGTTTGGGAAAGCAACTGGAGTAGTCCCATAGAAATTTCATTTGGAGATGTGGGGATCTGGTGGGAGTGGTGTGATTGGATCATCCAAATGCACCAATCTCAACGCTCTCCCAAAGGGAGCCTAAGTCAACAAATCATCTCAGTCCATACATTCACCCCCCAAATGGTTTGAAAGCTATCAGAATCTACTTCAAATCAAGCTCATGAATCCATTATACCAAATTGGAAGACACAATTCTCTAATTTAGCAGCCTCCACTTCCTGAAATCCTACTTCAAGATCATTCCTACACTTTCCAAGACACATTGTGCATCTGATACATAGGGGCAAGACTTAGCCATTAAAGAGCTAGCAACAAGTAACTAAATATGTTTCACCACAATTGCACTGTTTCCTCTCAGTTAGTAGTGATTCCAGCACTTTCATCCTATTTCCTTTTTCATTTTCAATTCTGCTTTCCACCTTATGGCTCACCCTCTAGTTTGCTGATGTAATCCATTATTATTATCATTATTATCACTATTGATATTCTGCACCTCCATCTACTTTATTATCTTCCTGACATGAATAATGCGCTCATCAACTATTTTTAGGTTTCTCACTAGCTAACTAATGAAATTTTTACTTTGTTCACAGACAAATCTACACCCTAAGCCTTAAAAGCAAGTGACCTCTTCCAAACACAAGTCCAACTACACATTCTTCACCAAATACTTGGATTATCACATGATGGACCAACAATGGCATTTCTCTCCATCTTATGTATGTTGCTCAAGACTCAAATTGTGCCATTGACTAACTTAGGAAGTACCTTATAAATAATTATAAATGAATCTGTAACTAAAACACAAGGCATTCATCGTTCCGGTTGGAGAAAACATAACAAGGAACTGTGTCCACTGTATAATACTCTGTTTTAGTCATCTCAATTAAGACTCCTTAGTATTCATTATCATAAAATTTTAACCCTCAAGAGCAAACTCTCCCTAAGTTGTACCTCTAGCATATAAGTTCCAAGTCCATTGAAAAGCAAAAGCCCTATATACTACGTTCTGGTAAAGAATAATGCAAGAATATTTGTCCCAAACTTTTACCATGAAGGGTGAATGAAGATGTACGTGACTTTGAGCTGAATTCATATAGAGTGTTCCGCAAGATTACGTGAAAAAATGCAAATTAAGTTCCACTGAACATAGAATAACAAAAAACAATGCTCCATACTTGCATACCAACACTAAGAAGGCTAAAGCTTTGACTTTTATCTCAGAAAAAACCATGCATTAGCTTATAAAAGCAGCCTACCAAACAAAACTCAAAAACAAACACAAAAATCTCAATTCATGAACAAAATAACAAGGCCATTTAAGCTCACCAGCAAAAAGCAGCCCGATTCCGACTCGAAAAACCTAAAACCAAGCGGCAAATCACCGGGGAGATACACACGTGTATATGTGAAGAACAGATAGCCGACGTGAGTACAGATAGAGAGAAGGATCTAGAGAGAAAGAGAGAGAAAGAAAGTGAGATGTTTGAAATAACAGAGAGAGTCAAGCCGGGAAGCGTTTTAGGGTTTTCGCACGGGAGAGAAAACACAGTTCGGGTTTAAGGAAACGCCGATGAGTAGGGTACCGGCGACGAGTCTCAGATCCGGAAAATCTGTACATACATATATCCTATGTGTATATAAATATTTTTTTAGGTGAAAATAAAAAATTTACTTTCTAGAAATAAATAAACCTGGAAAATCCTTCTCAGATTTTAATCCTTTTTTTGGGTTTTTTTTTGGGTGGTGGGGAGGGGGGGGGGGGGGGGGAAGGCCAGGGTTGGGTTAAAGCCTAAAGGCGTGCTCTGGTTTAGAGAGGGCCTACGGAGTTGAAAGGGCTGATGATGGCGAGGACTTGAGATTGAACGGTGAATGATGTTTTTGTTGGATCTAACGGTTGGGATTTTCTCAGCGGTAGAAGTAATTTTTGTCACGTAATGTATTTTGATGATCCTATTTAGCATTGACGGTTTAAGATTTCGCCTAAACTCTGAATTATTAACTCTTTATTATTCTAAATCATCAAACTTTTGACAACAAAAAGGAATGTCGTTAAGGGTCCTCACATTGTGACCTAACAGGATTGTGGAGAAATAATTACGAAAATTCAATAATTTCTTACGAGGTGTTTGGTTTGAAGAAATAGTTGGAGGGAAATTATAATCTCATACTCTTCTTGGTATTTCAATTTCTTAAATTTTTTAGAAGAAAAAAAAAAAACCTTTGAAACAAAATTACCTCTATCTTTTTTTAAACTTAAAATTGACTTCTAACATCTCCCTATTGATTGCATGAAAATTATAATTACACTATGTCTGGTACAAGAAATACAATAGACGAGTGGTTTGGGAAGACCAATAGATGAGTGGTATTTGAATATGTTTTTTTTTTTTTGTATTTGAATATGCAAATAGGTCCAATAGATACTTGTCATTTAAGAATAATAATACTCTCTCCGTTCCTAATTGATTGTCTCATTTGCTTTTTGCACGGATTTTAATACAACATAACGAATGGTACTAACTTTCCAATTTTGTCACTCAAAAATAAGTATTATTTGTACAAAGTACAAGTGTACTTACCTTTAGAAATTTGAAAAGTCAAAAGGTTAAATTGGGAAATGTAGAGTGGTAGTTATGTTCAATTTTGAAAAGATGACACTATTTTAGGACAAACTAAAAGGAAAGTAAGACAGATACAATTCAAAAGATAAGTATGACATTTTGAATTGTATACTACGTATTCCATTTCAATCCTCATGTATACCAAACATCAGAATTGAATTTTCATTAATTTCTATTCATACAAATCAAACATTGAAATTTAAATTCCTACTTTATTAGTTTATTCTCACATTATTCATCTCCGATGAAATTAAAATTCATTTCTCTTATAATTTTCCTCCTCCAATCAAACGCCTCGTTATGTGTGAGAACAGTCGGCCACATTAGGTATAAATTGTCAAAAAAAATTAAATCACAAAGTATATATTCCAATTCAGCCTTAAAAAAATATAATAAATAATGAATATGGTAAAAATATACTCCGTATATATTTGTAGAATTAGAGAGAGTAGCAGCCGATGGATCATGGTGAAGCTCAGGGAGCAGGTTCTCATAGTGAGGGAAGTTGGTGATCGAATTGTAGGGAGAATTTGGGCAGGTTTCAGCACCATCAATGACCTCCATGGGCTAGGCCGTGGCTGCGGGGTCAGGGTTCTCAAGCTCAGAAGGAAGACCCCAGGGCACAGGGTCAAAGGCTTCATCTTGGCGACGAAGGACCGCATAAATGTCGCGCTGCATCGTGTATTGGCCCACATCATACAGTAGTTCTCCCTCGGCCACTATGCGCTCTCTACCGGCATCAGTGGTGATCCAACTAGTGACAAGTTCCTCCATATGGGCGGTGGAATAAGCCTTTACGTCTTGGTTGAAGGCCTCAGAGCTCTTATAACGAGACACGGCCAAAGTAAGAGCATCCTCGTGCTCTTTGGTCTCGTTGGCGCGCCGCACCTCCAAGTCGGAATATTTGGTGCACAACGCCACATGCTTCGCATCTAGCACCCGAAGCCGGCTCTCTAACATTGCGCACTTCACTTCCAGCTCGGATCTAGCCTTCCTCTCTGCCTCTAGACGAGCCCGAGTAGCCCTCAAAGTATCATCCATGGCGACTTGGCGAAGAAGACTCTGCATGACGAATGAAAGTGAGAAATGAATCAAGTAACAATAGGAAAGCATAAGGGAAAAGGTTGTACCTCAAGCGCGGGGCGAAAGTTGGGGCAGCCCTCATATAACTCTGAGTCGCGGGGGAGGAGGAGACTCCGCACCAATGCATCGATCGGAATGTCACCTCGCATAAGTGAGGCCGTAGGGGGGAGGTCAACGGCCCAATGCGCTGAAGTGGTCAGTGGAACGTGCACCACGGGCTCGGCAACTCGAGCGGAAAGGTCGGCGGTGGTGGAGGCCAAGCTCGGCCTTGAATCGCAGCTCCTTAGGGTCCAACTCTGTGGGCCCGGTGGAGGTAGAGGATGAGCGCGGCTACTTTCACCCGTCTTTTGCCTCTTCGCGGTGGGAACACGGGCCTTTAATCGGCGCATTAGCTCCTCACAAGACACACGGGATGCGACCATATCTACAACAAGTAGCAAGAAAAATGAGATCAAAATATGATGTGGAAAGCGAGCCAATTATATTAATAGGGTTCGAACCCGGGAGCTCGACGTCTAGGTTGGGCTCGACCGCGGCGTGGTCAGACGGCAACGGCTCGGCGTCTAGGTTGGGCTCGACCGCGGCGTGGTTAGACGGCAGCGGCTCGGCGTCTAGGTTGGGCTCAACCGCGGCATGGTCAGACGACAACGGCTCGGCGTCTAGGTTGGGCTCGACCGCGGCGTGGTCAGACGGCAGCGGCTCGGGCTCGACGGCGCGATCAGACTGTGGCGGATCGACGACGACAACAGGTAGATCCTCGTCTCCGTCCATTGCACATACCATTTTATACCTTGCATGTAGTTCAGCTAAAGGAATCCTACGCTCCATTTCCAAAAGAGCAATCTGAGAATTAACATGCATGCTTTTTGTTAGATATTAACAGCTTCACTATACTAAGTGAATGCATACCAAAATAGAAATTTAATACTCTTAAAATCCAAGACAGCTTTTACCTCATTATTAGCATCAATTGGCTCTGCCACTGCTAGCTCTTCCTCCTCCAAAGAAGTTGTCTCATCATCCTGAACGTATTTGAGATAATAATGCCAAAATTTCATCCAAAACCAATGTATCATAGGCATCCAAATTTAAAATGGCATGAATAAAAACATTATATATTAACAGTCCCATTCATACATCTTAAAGTAATAGTTCCAATTTCCAAATGTCACACCATCACCCACAATATAATACAAGTAGAAGCTTGATAGCATATGCAAGAAACAAATTTCAAGAAATGGAAGTTTCATGAAACAAAATCGTCAGATGTAGCAACAAAAAAGCTTACCTCAGAATACTCAGTCTCTTCAAATGTAGGAACAAAATCTTCATCATCATCCCCATCCTGCAGAAAGTAGAAATAGAAATTACACACAACCTATGTAAACACTTTTTTTTTTAAAACACCTATGTAAACACTTTTAGAAGAGGGAATAGGTTTTATCATCAAAAGTAAAACTAACATTGTTTTTCATGAGTTTTACCAACATAACACCAAAACTAAAACAGTCGAGACAAATAAGTACTTAAACAGAGCAGAAGAGAACTTTGCCCAATACGAACTAGGCAAAAGCCGAATCAAATGCACAAGGCCCCTTAATCATACTATTTCCTTGGTTAGAAGAAACATGAAAGGAAACAAACTGAAAGAAGGAAAATAGAATTAAAACTTACTGATTCATCCTCAGACATCATCAAATGACTCAAATCATAATCATCATATTTATCAGGGGCAACTGACTGAGATTCTGTCACCGTTTACAGACAGTGAGAGAAGCAAAAGGCAACAACCCAAAGATAAGAAAGAGGCCAATCTGCAACAAATAAACCATTCATCCACTTACCAATTACTTTTGTTTCAGCATTTCTGTTTACATCATCTTGAGTTCCTTCTTCATGTTGAATTTGTAAGTTCCCTGCAAGCATTGTTGAGTACCTATAGTAATCATAATACAGAGCATCTCATCATGTTGGTGTACATATGTAAAATAAAAATAAGTCTCCACCCTAAACATAATGACTCAAAGAACTGCACCTCTCAGTTTGCCCAAGAAGAAACTCAAGCTGTTTAAAGCTGTTTAAGTTCCGGTGAACATAGAATAACGAAAAACAATGCTCCATACTTGCATACCAACACTAAGAAGGCTAAAAAGCTTTGACTTTTATCTCAGAAAAAAACCATGCATTAGCTTATAAAAGCAGCCTACCAAACAAAACTCAAAAACAAACACAAAAATCTCATTTCATGAACAAAATAACAAGGCCATTTAAGCTCACCAGGAAAAAGCAGCCCGATTCCGAATTGAAAAACCTAAAACCAAGCGGCAAATCACCGGGGAGAGATACACAGGTGTATATATGAAGAACAGATAGACGACGTGAGTACAGATAGAGAGAAAGAAAGGTAGATGTTTGAAATGATAGAGAGAGTCAAGCCGGGAAGCGTTTTATGGTTTTCGCACGGGAGAGAATTGAAAACACAGTTCGGGTTTAAGGAAACGCCGATGATTAGGGTACCGGCGATGAGTCTCAGATCCGGAAAATCAGTAGTTACATAATACATATACCATTGAAATTTGAATTTTCAATAATTATATTCATGCAAATCACATACTGAAATTTAAATTTAAATTCTTACATTATTTCTCGCTCATAAAATTAAAATTCCTTTCCATTTAAATCACAAAGTATTTTAAATTCCAATTTACTCTTAAAAATTGGAATAAATAATGAATATGGTAACAAAATATTTTAGATTTAAAAAATACATTAGCATTAATATTTGGAAAAAAAAAACTTAAATAAGTCATTGAACTTTACTCAAATGTGTAATTAGACATTTAAACTTCAAAAAAAATACAATTAAACACTTGAACTTATCATTTTTGTGCATCTAAACTCAATAGATGATTATCCACCTAAAATATCATGTATTAAGGTTCCGGTGACAACTCCGATAATAATTTCGACCACTAACAAATTCCATCAACATTTCAGATTGAAAAACAAATAAATTACGATGGCCTTGTCCACTTTAGAAGATCACATGACGTCTCTTCGTTTTGTTTTTTGTTTTTTTTTTTTTGGACATAATAATGGTTAGCCACGATCAACGACAAAAAATTTACCACTAACATATTATTTCAAAACTTACATTGTCATGTTTGGTTCATGCATGGTATCTTAATTTTCAAGAGAGTATAACATTTCTCAATGAATGTAACATACTCTCTATATTGAATTTTGAAGGGAATGTAATTTCATCGCAATTACTAAATTATATAAGATTCTCATGTATATTTACTATTTTTGTCAGTTTAAATATAAAATATATATTTTATGTTAGTTATTATATGTATTATATTTAATTATTTTTGTAATTATAAAACATTTTGTTTATCAAGTTAAAGCTCTTAGTCAATTATTTTTAAATCATGTACTGTTACCATTGTCTTATATCTTTATATATTTAATTTTAAAATTTATTGAAATACACAATTATAACATAACAAATAACTCCTAAAACAAACTAGTTTATATTACATATCTCAATTTTAACTAAATTAAACACAATAATCTAATATCCATAATTGGAAACGAGTGTGAATGGACCCCATGATTGGAGGGGAAATAAGGAAATTGGGTGTGTTTACTAATATTTTTTTTGTTTGTTTTGATATTTTTTAGAATGAAAGTCGAAGAAAATAAAACACATAATAAACTTATTTCTACATTTTTACAAGTTGGAAAACATATAATGAAGCATGAAAAGTAATTTAAAATGAATAATAATCAAAGTAAATAAATACATAATGTCATTGTTGTTATATTAATTATAACCATCATCGATTCACAATAAAACTCGTAATTGTAATTGGCTCAAATCAAAGTCAATAAGCAACTTCCATAGATAATTGAATTTGAATTTTATAATTACCAACTCGATTAGTTGTCCCTATTAATTAACCATCTTAAATGTAGTGACCAAAACAAATAAACATCTTAGTCCTTAGACATTAAATTCAAACGATTATACTATTAATAATAATTAATCATAGTATAAAAAATCAATGAGATTTAATAAATAATAATTTTCCTAAAATCAAAATTTGAATTTTGAATTGCAGAGCAACCAAATAGTTATTAAGTGTTTAAAAAAAAAAATAGTTATTAAGTGTTTTGAATTTCAAAAAGTTAAGAAAATATGATCTATTTTTGACTTATTGCCTGTATACAAACAAATCTGCATTGGCCAATTTATTTTGGAATGCCAATTGTACCCTCAACTATATTACATAAAAAAAATAAAAAAATCTTATACTACACTTATTTATGCATTTCTACAAATTGGAAAGCATATAATGAAGCATTTAAAAATGAATAATTAAAGTAAATGCATAATTTCATTGTTCTTCCTGAAAGGTTGAATCCTTAACCCCAAGGATCCTCACATCCCGACAGAGTGATCCCGACAGAGTGAGAGGTTGTCTGCACGCTGCTGCTGGTGAGACTCGATCCATGATCATTTTTTCCAAACTTCACTCATATGACCAGTTAAGCTGTCTATGCATAATTTTATTGTTCATAATTCTAATGGAAGCCTAAAAAAATCATACAGAGTAATAATTAGTATTAGTAAATAAAATTTATATATTTATAATTAAAAAAATATTAAATGTACTATTAAATACAAAAAAAATTAAATTTAAAAATTATAATAAATTATTTATTTAGTGTATACATTTGAATAGTAATTTTTTTTAGTAAAAAGAATTATAGATAATTAACCGATGAGGATGATCTTGTGAGCTCTCCTCTTTCGGACAATGTTGCGATCTGTAAAGTGGATGCCTCAGTTCAGGCAGATGCTAACCAAGCCTCATCTGGAGCAGTTCTTCTATCTAGCACCGATACATTATTGGGAGCATTATGCCGCCTAGTTCGAAGTATAAATGATCCTCATTTACGTAGATCTTTTGGCCCAATTCGGAGTATAAATGATCCTCATTTGCGGAGAGCTTGACGGTTAGAGAAACGTTATCGTGGCTCAAAGAGAAAGGTTGGCGTAGGCTCATAATTGAATCATACTGCCTCAATGTGTGTCATCAGCTTAATACTCCTTCGACTGATTTTTCATACGTTGGTTGTCTTAGATTGACTAGGCACTTTGAATCATTTTCCTACCAGTTTATTCATAGATCAACGAATATACTTACCTAGTGACCTATACTCTAGCTAGGTTCGTAGATTCCTAGTCTGGTCCTCACTTATTTTCACTTCCATCCCTCCTTGTATTCAACATTTGCTTCCACTTTAATTAAGAGTTCTACTATGCGTACTCTCAAATTATACTCCCTTACTTATACTCCATGAGGTGGCAAACTAGGATTGGTCATTTTCATCATATGAGTAATGGGTCCACAGAAATGTCTATATCAATAACATGTGAGAAGGAGTAAAAGTAAGGAGTATAAAATAGGAGTACACAAAGTATTTTCATTTAATTAATAGATGCATATTTTTTTCAAAAAAAAAAAAAAAGAAAAAAAAAGAGGATATTACTGTCAAACCACATCAACAAATAAGCCAAAACCAGGGCAAATCCGTCCAGACACCAGATCAGCCTCACGAAATCCCCGTTCCTCTTTTTTCAATCCAACCCGGAAAATCATCGCTCAATAATTCAATTCAAATTCACAACGATTCAATTCAATTGCTATATAAAACCCTAGTTCAAACCCAATCGCCACCACTCTACGGCTATCAATACACCACATTTCAGCTTCACTTTCTCAGTGAAATCTGCGTCTTTCTGCTTCGAAACATGAAAGCTTCAATCAAGTTTCGTGAGGACCAGAAGCCATTGTTGAGGGCTAAGGTCCCTATCAGCATCCTAAGCTTTCCTTTCCAATCAGGAATCGCCGCCGGCGAATCCAAAGAGCTCTCTCTCAGCCTCGGCACTTTCTTCGACGCCGGCCCCTCTGTTAGATTCTCTTACCGCCCCAATGATTCGCAGAAGCCGTTCAGTTTTGTGCTGAAAACTGGTCTCGGGAATTATGGATCTCCGAATTCGAGCCCGTTTACCATGAGCGCAGAGTTCAATCTGATTGGGAATCAGAACCCCAGTTTCTTCGTTCACTTCAAGCCCCGATTCGGCGATTTCTGCGTGAAGAAATCGCACTCCTCTTCGGCTATTGCGAAGAGTTTTAGCGCGGGTTCCAAATTGGAGAACGGCGCCGTTTCGGACGACGAGGTGTTGGTGACTCCGGTGGGGAAGGCCCCCGGGTATTTCGGAGCGAACGTCAACTTCCTGGACCGGAATTTCCGCTCTCTGACTCCTGAATCTCCGGTGCTGCCGGGGTTGGTTGAGAACGTGTTCTCCGGGATGACGGTGAGTGCGAGGACAGCACTCCCGTTGCAAAGCAGAGCAGTGGTGAACTTCCGATGGGGCCTTAGGTTTCCGCCGCCGGCAGGGGAGGCGGATGCGGTTATGATAGGGAAAACAGATCGTACCACCGGCATTTCCTTCAGGAACCTTCCCCTCCTCGTGATGAACAAAATCGGGATCGAACACCTTCCAAAGAACGATTCCAAGCGCTCCAAGACGGGTCCGGCCGACGTTACAGAGGCCTGCTTGAACGTGCAGAAACAGCTCGAGCTGATCCAAGCAGAGAATGGGCTGTTACGGACCACTCTGAATGATCTAAGAGCAGAAATGGCTGCCGGAAGTTGGAGTTTCAAAGAATCCGACTGGAATGGATCCAAAACTTACGCCGGCGGTCATCGGAGGAGCAATGCAGATAAGAAACCGTCGGATCTGAACGGATTCAACGGCAAGCCATCAGAAGATGTGAACGAGGAGTTAAAGAAGGCGTTAAAAGCCAGCACTGGCGCATAAAACTAGTCGAAACTACTGGGAAATCGAAGGTTCTGTTCAATCCATTCAAATTCGCAGCCATTAGTACTTGCAGTATAAATATAGGCACCAATTTTCCCATTTCAGTTCCGTTTTATCAAATCTTTCATTTGGTATTACTAAATTAGTATTTGCAGGTTGAATTGTTTTTGCTATGAACTGTATCTCAATTCTCAGCAGAATGGTGAAATTCATAATGATGTGTATAGCTTTTGAATATGGGTATAGTAGCTTCAATATGAACATTATGTAGCAGCCATGGGAAGATCCCGGGACCCCGAGATTTAGCGGTTTTGATCAAAATTCGAGTTTGAAAGAAATTATAATGTATGAAAATTATTTAGTTGTTTGAACACCAATGATGTTATGATGATGCAGTGAATATAATGAAGGAGTTGCCAATGTTGTTGTCTTTCATGTGTGCTGGAAATGATGAGAATTTGTCAGTCTCTGATTGAGATTTTGTTTGCTTGCAAGCGATGATAACAATGTTTGACCAAAATCAATAATTTTTCATTTTGAATTTCGCGAGGGAAACTGCCGGCCCATTGAATATGGTAAGATTGATCATAAATGAACTTTTAATATACACCTTACAATGTAGAATATGATCCACAGTATAATGATGGATAACAATCAGTCAATTATTGCCTAATTGGAAGTAATTCATATTTCATATGGTGTTTATTTAAGTACATGTGTAATGAATTTTCTGGCGGGGTTGTGAGTGAAAATTTATTTAAATAATAGTTTTACTTCATGAATTATACTCATGAATAGGTAGACTCAATCTTTTTTATTTTAGCCAACAACGAATAAATGTAATTAATGAATACAGTCAAGAACTAAACTAGGAGGGGACTCCTCCCACAGAGGCATGTCCGTCTGTGAGCCAACTACATGGGCGTGTTGGTTCGTTGATCGATGAACGTACTTAACACGACAAGACTCATAATGGAAGAACAATCTTGGATGACAAGACCAACACACAATAAATCAACTACATTCCGTGTGAGCCCACAACAAAGATTTAAGTAATCAGTAACAATCGTAACACGCTCCACACCCCTCCCCGCATCAAATATAACGTCTCCTTGCAAGCCCACACTTCAATCTTTTAGTTATAAACATGTTTCAGATTTTTTGTGGACTAACAACAATGCTAAAGTGGTCGAAAATAGTGACAGAGATTTTTTCCGAATATCAAAAGTGGTTGGAACAATAGTTTCCGACTGAAAATTCTTTGATTTCTAGCCATACAAAAATCTAAAATGCCCAAGTTTGGCTTTTACATAACACAAAAATTGTTGGTTCTATCTTCATCTTCTTGGGTAAATTTGCATATGTAGGCGAGGTCTGTATATTGCCCAAAGATTCAGTAATGGGCTGGTTAGTATTCAAGCTTATTCTTAGGGCCGGGTTTTCTTCGATCATGTGGAAATAAAACAAAAAAAAAAACAAATATATCTAATATCTATATGTAGAGGCATGCATACAGTTGTCCATTCTTCCAAATGTGACAAATTATGCTGACCAGTGTGCACCATGCATGGTGGACACGGAATTGGATTTATAATTTTTATATTATAGATTAATAATTATTGAACTCTATATTCACAATTACAAAACTCTATGTTCATATTCCTAATTGTTGAACTTTGTATTCACAAATCACTGAACTATATGTTCATAATTTGATAATTATACAGTTTAAAAATTATGAATCTATAGTATAGAAATTATGAATCTAGAGTATAGAAATTAAGAATTTACAGTTTAGAAATTAAGAATCTATAATATAGAAATTAAGAATTTATAATATAGAAATTATGGATTTATAGTATATAAATTATAGATCTATAATATAGAAATTATGAATTCAATTTCGTGTGCATCTTAAAACATAGTGCACACAGTTGCACATCATAACGCTCCTTTAGCTTGTATGTACTATTGATCCATAATACTATTTTAATTACCAAAAATTGAATACCAAATCTTTCCTTTTTGAGATTTAGAATTCCTAATTTAGCGTAATACTATTTAAGGATTCATTTCAAAACCAGTAACATGTTTTCTGAAAAAATAATTTTCAAAACAAAAATGCCTGACTTTTTTTTGAAAAATAATTTAATTTATGGTCCACTCTTATATAAAACCAGAGTCAATAAGTCAACGGAGTAGTAACATGGTAAAGCAGGTAATCCTAGCTTGTAGTCCCCGATTCCTGGGATCGGAGTAGTTGGATCAAGACGAACTACTATACATCACAATTCTGTTTTTTTCTTCTTCTCTCTTCTCGATCTTGAAATCATGAAGCTTACGTGGTGGAGACACACATCACATGACGTTTAAATTAACATGCAATGTTCTAACAACTCTCAATGCTTATACTAAATGCTAGCTTGCAAGGATGCAGCTGTGAATTATATTGAAGTTGGGTATATATGAATAATAAATACTCCATAATATATGTGATGAGTACATATTTTTGCAAAAAAAAAAAAAAAGTGATGAGTATATATATAGTGGTACGATCAAATATTGATAACGGTGTGATAACCCAACAAAATTAGTTAGACAGTTTCTTAGTAATTAATTTTTTTTTTAAAGATTAAACTTTTAGTAAGAACGGCTTATTAGTCCTATTGGTTTAAGCTGATCAACTATGTGATAATATTGATGTACCGGATTTGATTCTTTCTTTGTATTAATCTTCTTCAAATCTTGAAAAGTAACTCAAGTACATTGATGACATCTTTGGTTCATAGAAAAATATTGTTCTCAAATTTAAAAAAAAAAACATATGACGAATTCCTCAAATTTGAGAACAATGAATTCGTTGCTCTCCTTTAGTAGTTCATTTACTATAACTTTCCATAGAAAAGTTACAACGTGAACTCCTACATTACCTTTACATATCTTTATTGTATAGGGATTTTTAAATATTTATACTAATTATTTCTAGCAATTTATTTTTCACCAATCAAGAAATCAATATTTATTTTAAATAATTTATTTTCCATAGAATTGAAATTAAATTCCTTCTAAATTATGTTTCATGAACCAAACATGCTATAAAAGCTACCTTGAATTGGAGACATATAATCCGACTGAGTTAGCCGGCCAATTAGTTTGATAATAATCATACGGTTCCTAGTTCTAATTTCTGTAAAGGCTCTGTTTGGCAGAGCTTATTTAGGAGCTTATAGCTTATTTTAAGCTACTAATAAGCTATAAGCTCTGTTTGGTAATGTTCCCAAAATAAGCTCCGAGCTTAAAATAAGAGCTTATTTTGGAACGCTACCTACGGTAGCGTTTCAAAATAAGCTCCTAGCTTCCTAACTTTTTTTCCATCTTTATCCATATTATTTTAAAGAAATGACATAATTTATCCTTTCCAATTAAAATCGTTTTCTTTTCTTCTTTATCCGCAACTTTCACCGCAAATGAGATTTGCAACAATATTGCTACTTCATTATGAGATGCTAGATCATGATTATGCTAATAGTTTTATTTTAAAATGTTAATTTTTTTAAAGACAAAATGTTAAATTTATATGTAAACAAACTAATTTAAATTTTATGAAGATGTCCTTTTTAGTCTTTTAACATTTATCAGCTTATCAAAAAGCTAATTTTACCAAACACTTTCAACCATAACAGCTAGCTTAACAGCTCTTCAGTTTTCAGCTCCGAGCTTATAGCTTTTCAGCTTTCAGCTCCTAGCTTATAGCTTTTCAACTAGGTTTGCCAAACAGAGCCAAAAATTATTTATTTGTCATCTTGATTTGAGTTAGTTATCACCGAACTACTGGATTAGAATCATAAAATGAATAATATTAATTTTTTTTCGAGTTCACAGCACCTGGCCTAATTAACCAATATACAATTCATTATTATTAAGTCAACATAAAATTAAGAAATGCACAATTCTCACTACCCCATCCATGTACAGTTCTTCAAGCTAGGAAAACAAAAAACAAAAACAAAAAGACTTAAGAATTGGAAGTAACTGATCGAGAGAAACAACTGGATCATAATCATCATCATATCATGTCTATGAGAATCATCTTCTTCTTCATACACTCCTAGCCAACATCTCTTGAAACCTCCGATCAGACTCAACTTTCTCCAATCTGAACCTCTCATGGCAATCGGCGATGAACATATCAGCGATCTGGTCGATATCGCCGCTCTCCTCACAATCCACCTTCTCTTCTAGCCAGTCAAGGTACCCCGAGAGCCCGCCGCACTCATCGCGAGCCGCGGAGACGATCGAGTCGCCGAGCGGAGGAGCCGCGACCGCCGCCGCCGGCACAACGTGAGAGGAGCACCAGTTGTAGTGTAGCCGGAAGGAGCCGAGAAACAGCTTCCTCTTTCTGCCGTCGTTGCTCATCGTCTTGCTTTTCTTAGCAATCATTGGGAGTTGTCTTACGAGGTGCATTTGGAGAGCTCGGAGGATGTGAAGGAGAATGGACTTGGCTCCGGCGACGGCTCCCACGACGCGGCAGAGCTGGGAGAAGACGACGGTTTGGATTAGGGTTAGGGTTTTGAGTTTCGTGGAGTTTAAGGTTGATGAAGGAGGGTGAGAAGAAGAAGAAGATGGATGCTTGCGGGAGAAAACATGAAGATGGCGAAGCTGGCCAGCCATGTTAGTTGTTTAATTTGTCGTGCAGTGGGGTCTATGATTTAATTTGTCTCCTCCAAAGGGGTATTTATAAAGGGTAAAAGCTTAATTAGCCAAACTCTATTTAAGACAAACCATTTGGTTGTTAAATTTGTAATTATATTTAATTAACTATGTTCTATAAATCATGGATCATAAAGATTCTAAATTTTAGGTTAGAAAAAAAAAAAAACATATTTAATTTGTCCAAGTTCGACTTCCCATAGGCCATGGAGCAACATAATGACATTTTTAGTTTGAACCGATCAGCTATAACAATTAAAACTGATTTATCTAATTGTGATTCTTTGCCAACAAGAGTCATCACAAGGTGAAATTTACCTCGAATATATCATTGGATAGTGACTCTGCGTTTATCCGGCCCGTCACCCAAACAAATAGTTTTAGTCATTCAATTGAATAGTGATGCAAATTTAGATTACTCATGGTGAAACTTTAGTTTTTCATTAATATAATGAGCAATAATTTAATTTTTAGGGGTTTTAACAAAATTGTAACATCATAGTGTCACATATAAAATCGGTCACTTCATTGAAAATTTAAAGATTTTTTTTACTCTATGATTAATTAATGGGTTAAATATACACCATAGTCAGAATTAGGAGACAGAGAATTAGTTTATCTCAATTCTCCCAAAAAAAAATGTAAAATTTTTCCAATTTGTAAAAGCATTCTAAAAAGTATCATTTCCTCTCAACAATAACAACTTGCCTTAAGAATATAACTAAGTTGGTTGACTAAGCTAAAAATGTTAATAGTTACTTGCCTTGAGAATATAACTAAGTTGGTTGACTAAACTAAAAATGTTAATAGTTTGACTTTGCTAATAGTCGCATAGTGCAATAATATAATGCATGTATGATACAAATTCTTTGGCAAACTTAATTAAAGGCCATTGAGGCATTACACCAAGTCTCTAATGACTTACCAAACACCCTTGGGATTGAGGTGTAATTCTTATATATATATATATGTGTGTGTGTGTGTGTATGTGTGCGTGTGTGTATAATCATTAAGTATGTTTTAGGATTTTTTTTGGAGACATTTACGCTCAAGATACAAAAATTTGTGTGAGACCATCTTATGATCCTTGTCCGTAAGACGGGTCAAGTAAAGATGAAATGTAATACTTATATTAATAAATATAATATTAAATTAGGAATATGTTTATTACTTATATAAGAAAGTATAATACTTTTATATTTTAATATAAAAGTATTATATTTTTCATCAAAAGTATTACATTTTTTCTTTATAACTGTAACATTATTTATAAAGGAAAACATAATAAGGAAAACATAATAATTTTGAAAAAAAAAAAAAAAAAGTAACTTTTATATTGGTTGTAAAGTTACTTAATTATCACGGATGAGAAATGGTAAAATGATGATTAACATAATGCAAGCAGACATTTTATTTATTCATGAAGAGCTGTCATGATCATGTGATCGAATAACGTACCTACAGATCCACTGACTTTATTAGTTTTAACCTTGTACTGTAATACGAGATCTCACTTAGCTTACGCAATAAATATATCAACACAATCTTCGAAATGAGTGATGAAATGGATAAAACATGATTTTTTATCAAAAGATATTAAGTTTGATTCTTAAGAATACTTTTCTGGTCAAATTTATCATACCTTTCTTGTTTGATAAATCTCTCCTATATAATTAAGAATTATTATACAAATAAATAATTATACTCTTGAAATAGTAGTGACCACTTGCTTTTCTCGTAACCCAATCAACCCAAATTGTAACATACACGTAATGGCGTAATGCATTCACACTTCACTCTGTACGTAATTTCATTATTCCCCAAAGTAATTAACCCTACCCGCCTCTTTCATTTTGCCCCTTTAGAAAATTTTCCATTTCCAGAAACCACACTAATAATTAGAGTTGCCAATGAGTTGGCTGAAATGGAACGTCATGATCGATCAATAACTCATTATTATTATTAGGAATAAGGGTCAAATAGGCCATGGAACTGCACACGATAAAACAATTAGGTCATTGAACTTAAAAAATCAACAATTAGGTCCCTAAACTAATCAATTTCAAACAATTCTTCCAATTTGAAGGTTTCCAACAGGTCAACAGGTCATCTCCCAAATTAATTATTTTTTTAAAATATAAATTTTAAAAATTAATTATTTTTAAATTAAATTAAAAAAAAAAAAAAAAACTAGAATCCAGCCGGAGACGACCGTCTCGTTCCAGTTTTTTTTTTTTTTTTTTTTTTTTTTTTAAATTTAAATAATTAATTTTTAAAATTTAAATTTTAAAAAATAATTAATTTGGAAGGATGACCTGTTGACCTGTTGGAAACCTTCTAATTGAAAGAATTGTTTGAAATTGATTAGTTTAGGGACCCAATTGTTGATTTTTTAAGTTCAGTGGCCTAATTGTTTTATTGTGTGCAGTTCGATGGCCTATTTGACCCTTATTCCTTAAAGTTATTTAATTTGATATATATATATATATATATATATATATATATATATATATATATATATATATATATATATATATATATATATATATATATATATATATATACATGTTATACTGGTGACAATTTAGAATTCTTGACGGTTAAAAAGTACTCCAAAATAAAAATCAAGATTTTGATTACGGTAGAAATATAAAAAAAAATGTCTGTAGCCAGCATTATCGGTCACCCGTCAAATTAAAAGCTATTGAAAACCCCAACTACCAATAAAAATGGGTTTATTGCTTTCGGTAAAAATGGGTCTCTACAAAAGTAATTTATATATTAATTATATCATAATTACGGTTTTAAGTAAATAATTAAAGTAAAAATTGGAGACAGCCTGACATACGTAAAGAGAAGGTAGAAAATGAAACCCTAGCCAGCTGCTAGCAGTAAGTAATACATTAAATAGGCAAATTATTGTGTGGAACTCGGTTTAAAATGACGTAGTTGAATTTTATGAATTAGAATAATGAACATTACGAGTATTTTAAGTGTTAGGATAATAAAATTTTTAGAGTAAGATAATGTACTTTATTAGTTATAATAATGTATATTATGCTTTAGAATAATGTATATTATGCTTTAGAATAATGTATATTGTGAACTATAAAAATGTATGTTATAGTGGATCGTATGATTTTTTTTTTTACACAAAACGACGTCATTTTTTAAACATAATCGTGGTCCACACAGTTGTGTGAACCACGATCCACGCAATTACTATTGCATTAAATGTGCATGTGTGGATGCATGAACATTAATTTGATGAATCATAAAGTGATATTATGTTTCGTGTGCAAATACATAATACATAGAATCCAACATATTTACAGCCATGTGACTGCATCATCACTAACTTGCGGCATATACATTCAAATCATCAATTCCGATTGCAAACAATAAAGTTTTTCTTTTTGTAATTTGCACTCCGTCATTGCATACATATTCATAATTGTATTAATGCATTCTGCGAAAAAATCCCAATGTTTGTATATCCAAATTGGATGTCACTCAAACAAACTGTTAAGAGTATTACACCACTTAACGTGTATTGACTAAACTTGTGCTCTTTTCCTCTAAACGATTAACAGCACGTTTGGTTCACGGAATGAATTTTAAGGTAATAGGAATGCTATTTCATAAGAAACAAACTATTAAGAGTATTACACCACTTAACGTGTATTGACTAAACTTGTGTCTCTTTTCCTCTAAACGATTAACAGCACATTTGGTTCACAGAATGAATTTTGAGGTAATAGGAATGCTATTTCATAAGGAATGAAATGGGTAAGGAATAGAATATGATGAATTGTATTCTATTGTTTGGTTCGCAGAAGGAATAGACTTTAGGAATTATGAAATTATATTACAGTGTTTGGTTGATTTAAGGAATAGAAATGAAATATGTTTTAAAAGACATAAGTACCCTTATAAAAATATGTTATGGTGGTGGTGGCGGTGGTGGCGGTGATGGTGATGGTGGTGGTGGTGGTGGTGGTGGTGGCGGTGGTGGGGTGGTGGCGGCGGCGGCGACGACAGCGGTACTGCTGGGGTGGTGGTGCTGGTGACGGTGGCGGTGGTGGATGGTAGTGGCGGCAATGATGGTGGGGTGGCGGCGACGACGGTGTGGTGGCAGCGATAGTGGTGGTGGGGTGGTGGCGACGGTGAGGAGGGGGTAAAATAGGAAATAGAAACTTTAGGCTATTCCTGAGAACTCAGGAATGGCCTAATATCAGGGCCCTCCTAGGACTCTATTCCCGTGGAAATACAAGTGGTTACCAAGCAGAGGAATATGCCTATTACTAGGAATGCTATGTCAGTCAATGCCTATTCCATGAATCAAACAGTCCATAAGAGTAATGCTAAATTTGTTTTTACTACTCTCACCTTTAGTTTAGAGTTAAGAGTAAGTGACTAATGTCTTGAAAAGGGAAGCTGAGTGAGTGGACTAACACTCCTATATGATTTACGAGTTATTACATAATATCGATGCCAAAAGAGCAAGTAATCTAATTTGTTTTGAGTTATACGTTGTTGTAATCGCTACTGTCTCGATGCATTCAGAGATAATTGCAAAAGTGAAAGTAAACTATGAAAATTTCTTAATTTTGAAGGAAACTCGCAATCATTACTCGAATGTATGCATTGAATAAACTTCATTACTGTGCGCAAACTATACAAAAGAGGTAAATTGCACTATAAATATCTTATGTGATAGAGTCCACTAAGATGATTCTGACATAAATTGAATATATGACATTTTTTTTTAGTGCTACTGATTTTTTTACAACATAGTATATGTTCATAACTACTTTCTCAACCTACTGAAGCACAAAGAGTCAATACCGCCTCCACTGAGGCTCCACTAAGGCTAGAATATATGACATTCTAGAATAAAAAACATGCTTCTATATGCATACCTCATTTTTGAATTGCCAAGGAACTAGACAACCTTTGTTTTCCACAATGAAA